AGAATTTTTTTTTTTTTAACCAGTGATTGAACCCAGGGTTATTTAATCATCTGAGCCACATTCCCAACCCTTTTTTATTTTTAATGAACTTGCAATCGCCCTGTCTCAGCCTCCCATGCCTGGCTCATTTGCTTTTTTGAAGAGAAGGGCTGGCCATAGATGGGTTTCTAACCTTGGACTCATGCTATTCACACTTAGGAAATATAGTCAGGAAATAGTCATTGCAAATGAGTTAACTGCTTTAGAAGTGTAAAGTTGATGAATTATTTCAGTGGGTAGGGTATTTTAGTGTTCTGTTGATCTTTTCATCAGAGAGAAATTTAAACAACAGCTCTATAAACATGTTAGGATTTTAAAATATAAAGTCTTTATATTTCTTTGCAATAAAATGAAACAACATTCTCAGGTTAGTATAAAAATTGAAACTTTGACCAGATTTGGAATGAAGTGACCAGAAACCTAGAAGTATTGATTTTTCAGAACCCCTGCATGATGCTGTATTTATTTACTTTTTCTTTTTATCTTTGGACATTCTAGAGGGGTATTTGATGCTTCCCTCAAAATGGCTGGCTTTTATGGATTGTATACCTGGCTGACTCATACTATATTTGGCATCAATATTGTCTTCATACCATCAGGTAACAACCATATCGTCACTTACACTGCCCTCTAAGAAAAGTTAGACTATTTGACATATGTTAGGAAATGTCATTTTCTTTAAGTTTAGAATAAATTTTGTAATTTGAGATCTAATCTAGTCCAGATTAGGAGCAGAAATATGGCTTGTATTATCCTTTTTTTTTTTTTGTTACTATTTTCCCAGTGGCTAGAACCACACCCAGCACGTTTTAGCACTTATCACACACCTAACATGTAACTGGTGCTCAGTATATCAACTGACCTAAAATAGCTTTGTCCTGCCCCAGGGAGAGGATGACTGCATCTGGGAGCACATAGGCTGAATCTAAACCTGTCAGGATCTGTTCTGGTAATGTCTCATTCCATAAGTACCAGGTGGTTTAATGACCTTCTTGTGCTTTTTTCCTTTATATAATCTCTGTTCCTGTCCTTTGGCTTTTTCTTCCTTTATTTCTGTTACTCCCTGTTTTCCTAAATATTTCTGCATTCCACATTACCTCTATCTTCATCTCTTCCACTTTTCTCTCTCCCCTCCTTCTTTACCTTCTTTCCTTCTTGGTGTCCACAAACCCACACTGTGATGTACAAGCACTCTGAGAGCATGTGAGGGTTCTTATTCCATAATCACCCTGAGAGGCAGTCAGAGTGGTGATGTTCATGTTGTCTAGATGAGAAACCAAGGTTTCCCAAGGTCACACATGTGTTTAATGGTGCCAGAGAGAGACAGACAGTCACACCGACCGACCACTGAGCCACATCCCCAGGCCTGTTTTGTATGTTATTTAGAGATAGGAGCCATTCCTCCTTTAGAGCAGTGCCATTCCTCATTTATTTGCTTAGTGCCTTTCTTTTGCTGAGGCTGGCTTTGAACTCAAGATCCTCCTGCCTCAGCCTCCGGCACTGCTGGGATTATAGGCATGTGCTACTGTGCCTGACTACATTTCATTTTTATTTGAAGCAAAGTAAAGAATATACATTTATATCTGGGTATTAGAAACTGATTTCTTTTCCCTCCTCTCTCTTTCTGAGCCGGGGATGGAATTCAGGGCCTTGTACCTTCAGGCCAGTATTCTACCACTGAGCCACACCCCAGGCCTAGAGACTAATATTTAATTAGCTTTTGCACTCAATAAGAATGTTGATAAATGTGCTACCCTTTTATAGGACTGTATTTTAATTACCCATTCAGAGTAACACCTGCAGAACACTAAGATTTTATCACTGACGAACAAATTTACAAAGTAGACACACACATTATAAAGATTTTTAATGACAAATTTTAAGGTATTAGACTCTTATTTAACTGAAAAATTCAGTTAAATAGGGCTTATCAGTCTCTTAAAATTAGAGTTTGTGAGTTTTGGTGGATATTTTTAAATAGGAAGAGATTAGTTTTTGCTGCATTGTGATTATTTTGTGAGAACCTTGAATATCTTTTCTTTTTTTGTGTTTTATTAGCCTTAGCAGCAATACTTGGAGCAGTGCCATTCCTTGGGACATATTGGGCAGCAATACCCGCGGTTCTAGACCTGTGGCTGACACAAGGCTTAGGATGCAAGGCCATTTTGTTGTTGGTTTTTCATCTCTTGCCAACATACTTTGTAGATACTGCAATTTATTCTGATATTTCAGGGTGAGTAGTCTGAAATTACTGGTGAATGATCGAGCAGTATGTATTGGTTTTTTGAAGCAGTTTTGTATTTTGAGGGGAATGGGGTTTGGGGAAAGAGCTGATAAAAGGAATTTTCAATAAAGTAGTCTTTTAAAGTTTAATTTAAATAACATTGTTTATAAGGTATGTTATTTTATATTTTGTAAGGTACATTTTATCTCAAAAACAAAGACAAAAAGGATATGGCTCAGTGTTTGAGCACCCTTGGGTTCAGTCCCCAGTACCATACATACACACACAGAAGACAGTATGATTCAGTGATGAATACAGGCTAAATTTAAATCAAAACCTTGGTCATATAACAAGTATCTTTTCATTTTGCTTTTTTGTTGTTGTTGTTGTTTGGTACTGGGTTTGAATCCAGGGATGCCTTCCACTGAACTCTCTCTCCAATCCTTTTTATTTTTTATTTTGAGACAGAGTCTCAGTAAGTTGCTTATTAGGGCCTCACTAAATTGCTAAGACAGGCTTCAAACTTTCAGTCCTCCTTTTCTGAATTGCTGGCATTGGAGGTGTGTGGCTTCTGAGCCAGCCATTTTTTTTTGGTTTTGATAGCTTTTTAAGAATTGCATTAAGTAAATCAAGCCAATTGTCAGTTAGTCATATATTCAGATTCACATTGCTTATTAGAATTTAGGTTGTGACCAAAAGTTTATGGCCTACTCAAACTGTCTAGTACACTGAATTTTTAAATAAAATAAAAGGTAGAGTAGACAGGGTCAGTGTTTCCAGAAGTAGTACTCTTCAGTTAAATTATGTAGAGAGTAATTGTATACTACCTTGTTTTCTCTTTTTAGTAAGTTAGAGTAAAAAATAACTTATGTGTAAGAACTCTGAAGTCCCAAAGTTCCAGAGCAAAAAGAGACAAGCAACTCTATAAGCCAGCCTTAGGGAACTGGTATGCCTAAAATTTGAGAGAGAAAATTAAAGGAGAACATCAGGATGTGGGTAACTAGTTTAATAGATGAGTTTGAACACTAGGAATAAGTGTTTTCATTTATTTAAACTTTGCTATATATTTTATATTGAGGTAAACAGTTCTAAGTCAGCATTAATCTGCAGGGACCCACCTGCACTGGGTACAGAATATTTGTTAACAGTGCTATTTCAGTTGTAAAGAGGCAGATGTCACACACTGGTGCATGGGCAAGTAAAGTCTTATATCTTGATTTTCTTACCATCAGTGATCAGTTATCTTCATGGAGGAATTTAAAGAAAGCCTGCAATAGATTAAAAAGCCCAGTGTACTGAAGAACGGACATTGTGTTAGAAAGATTTTTCAGAGTTGTGTGAGGTTTGTTTCTTGATTCACAAGCTAATCCCTGTGCTCTTTTTTTCCAGAGGTGGCCATCCTTACCTGACAGGCTTGGCAGTAGCTGGTGGTGCTTACTACCTTGGCCTGGAAGGGGCAATCATTGGGCCCATACTTCTCTGCATCCTTGTGGTTGCTTCCAATATCTATAGTGCCATGCTAGTGAGTCCCACGAATTCAGTACCCACGCCAAACCAGACCCCATGGCCTACTCAGACTCAGCGGTGAGTTCATGCAGAATGATCATAAACCACATGTGAACATTGAACTGTCTTGTCTCTGTATTTGGTAAATAAATTATCCAGACTTGTCAGGATAAGGGTGTTTGAATACTAATGCTGTGAAAAAGACTCTAAAGAAACAAATTGTTTTCAGATTGGGTTTCTTATGGCAGGAAAAATTTAAAACTATATTAGATCAGAATTGTTAATGTCACAAAAGACCAAAAATAAGTAAATTTAAGAGAGATTGTAGGGGGAGACTCAAGAAATTGGACAACCAAATGCAGCACATGAATCCATGGTAGGTTTCTGGATTGAGGATGAGCAGAACTTAAAAAGAACATTAATGGAACAATAGGGAAGATTAACGAAGGACTGTATTTTCCATAATATATAGTCACTGTTAAATTTCTTAGATTTGATGATGGTTTCTTTTGGCTATATGGGGGAATGTCCTTTAGGGATAACATGCCATGATTTTTAAAAACCTATTTTCATACAGTTCAGCCAAAACAGAGTGGGGGGCGAGGAGGGAGGGAGAAGGAAAGAGAAAGGACTGTAATAAAACACTGGTGAATCTAGATGAAGTCTTATGGATTCCTGGCCCTCCCCCAACCCAAGTTTTCATTGTTGCATTATAGTTTGTTGTTAAATATTTCTACATACACAGTACAGGTATTAAAATAATAATTGTTCTCATCTGTTATCACCAGAATTTCATAAAGTAAATTATAATGTTTAAAATATTTCCCAATTATTTCATAATTTTGTTATAATATTTTATTTAGGCATATCTTACAGTGATATACAAATCCTCAATATATTAAGACTTATGCTAATGATCTTTGTTATATATTTATATTCACGTAACTACCACCCATATCAAGATACAGAACGTTCCCATTATTCTGGACGCCTTCCATATGCTTCTTCAGTTAGGCCCCTCTGCCTGCTAATATTCTGACTGAGTCACTTTAGTTCTGTGTTTGAATGTCATCAATGTGTAAACTCTTAAGGGAGACCTCTTTTGATGTACATTCTGTCTCTGGGGTCTACCATTCTTGTTGCACTTTTTTCCCCATTGTTCATTTTTTCCGACTGTTATCTAGGATTCGAGTATATGAATATACTACAATCTCATTTATTCAGTGTAGTATTGACAGACATTTGGTAATTTCCATTAATAGCTGTTATAAATCGAGATGCTATGACAAAGTGGAACATATGGGTATACATCTGGTTTAATGTTAATAGACTCTTGCAAAACAATTTTCTATGTGGAATACCAGAAATTACATTCATAACAACAAAAGTAAGAGGGACAGTGTAAGAATAGATTGTAACTTTCCAGAGTCTTTATTGCATCATTCTTATTATCCTCAACTGGAAAACACAGTTTCTCTGCCTTGGGTTATTCTAGTGTAATTGAGGAGTCATTGACAAGTTGCTTCTGACCATGTACTTAATAACCATTTTATATTATTATATACAATTCTTGTATATAATTCTTATATATATACTTCTTCTAAGTGTTAAAGAGACATGGTCTTTTTTAAATTTTATTTTTTGATACTGGGGATTGAGTCCTGGGGTGCTCTACCATTGAGCTACACCCCAGCCTTTTTTATTTTTTGAGACAGATTCTTGCTAAGTTGCTGAGGCTGGCCTTGAACTTGGAATCCTCCTGCCTCAGCCTCGTCATTGGGATTACAGATGTATACCTCCACACTTGGCAAGACATGATACTTTTAACTCGGAATAAGTGAAGTAGTTTCTGAGTTAGAGTTGGTTGGTCAGAGGTCCATTTGAGCTAATGCAGTACTCTCACAAGGTGACAAGGAAAAATTGGCTTCCTCAGCAAGAATAGATAGAGGGGGACCTACGAGGTTTTGACAAAGACCTTACCACTTGGGATGTGATGACACTAGGATATCTTCTTCTGCCTTTACCTCTGAGAACAAAGGCTTTCTTGGGAACCAGAGATGCCAACAGACTGTAAATTGAAAGTAACAGAGAGCCCTTGCTAAGTTGAGACCTATTCTTTGGGCTTACTGAACAAGTATAAAAAAGCAACATTCATTGGTGTTTTGCTGTTACATTTGAAAAAGCTTGTTAATGATTCTAAGTTAGTACAGCAATAATTAATTTTTAGCTGAAGCAGAAGAAACTAATATGAATAGTTCAAAAAGCAAAAGACCTGTTCCCTACTTCCTCTTCTGAAAGTAAGCAGCTGGCATGGGGGTTTGAAGAAGGCAGTGTGAGGACCACATAGGCTTCATTGTTTTTTGGGTTTTTTTTTTTCCTTCAAAGTTAATAGGAAGTTTAAATGACTTCTTAAATAGTAACAAGCATAACTTTTCTAACATTGGAACTTACTGTGTGCTAAGTTTTGTGATAAAAATTTTACACGGATTGTCTTATTTTTCTTAGTCTGTGCCATATTTTTGTATGCCATGTTTGTCGATGAGGAAATCAGGTTTCAAGAGGGTAACTTGCCTGCATTCACACCCCTGGGAAGCCCACAGGCTGGTGTATTTCAGCTTCTGCTGTTTTTCTGCCTTTCCTTCCCTAAACACTTTGGGGTACCAGGAGAAATGCAGTATTCTCCGGTTTACTAGCTCAGTAACTGTCCCCTCACTTTCCTATGTCATGTTTAGTTGTCCTTATTACTTCCTATGTCCTCATTCACTGTCTTTACTCCATCCTGGCAGTATTACCTCAAGTTTGCCCTTGTGCCTTGTCCCCCAGTGCCACCACTGTTCTGAGCTGGTGCTTCTTATGGATCTGCTGCAGCCCTGTTGGTGTCCTGGCTCATCTCTCAGTGACTATTCTAACTGTTCTTTAGTTTGTTTTTCATACTACGGCTAATGTGGTCTTTTCAAAATGCGAGCATGTCTAATCACGAAATTGTCTTACCAAAAATGGCCTCAGTGGTTTTAGGAGAAAGATAACATGCTTGATGTGGTTCTCAGAGCTGCCCTGTGTGAGCTGGCCCAGGCCTGCCTCACTTTTGAAAGTCTAATTAATAGACTCATGAAACCAAAAACAGATCAGATAAAAAAAGATTTTTGCAATGTGACCTTAAGTCTGATTAAAAAAAAAAAAAAGGATGAGATATAATAAAGCCCAACTTTAGAATTTCATTCCAAGTATTTGGAAGGCAAGGGATATGAATAACTGTGATGCTCTGTCACAAGGGTTGTACCCTTGGCTGTGCAGAAACAACTAAGTTAAGTTAGTCTGTTAAAGCTTTTTATTTTTATATGTTTAAATTTCACTCTGCATTTCTGGGAGACTGGGAATCAACAAATCTTGTTGTTAAATCAAAAAACATTTAAACATTTCCGTGGGAGAGGAATTTGTAGAAGTCTCATTGAAACTTAAAAGGAAACAATTCTTGAAATGTTTTCAAAGAGCAAGAGATGGTAAGTGAGAAATTACAGGGCAAAATCCCTGTTGCTCTTAGAGGAGGTATAAAATGTTAACATTCCTCTGCTCAAATCCCTAGCCTCATATGGTCCTGTTCTGGACTGCTTGTTTTCAGATGAGGAATCATGCAACTGTGGTTCTTAGGAGCACAATAATCCTTATGGTTTGGAAAAGAATGCTGTATGTAGAAGGTCTAGGTAGGACATTATAGTGCGAGGTATTGAACTCAGGCCTCTTGCGTGCTAGGCAAGCTGTCTACCTCTGAGCACATCCCCAGCCCAGTGTTTTTAGAAATAGCATCAATGCAGTGCTTATCCCTTTGTTTCTTCCTAATCTAGAGAGTTACAGTTTTTTAGACCTTGCCGATTAAAGCAATACCTCTTGGATAGGCCAGAAACAAGTAGGTTATAGATTTTGTCTTCCTGTATAATTTGAGGTTTGCTCAAAATCAGTGTTACCTCAGTTGGATTTTATATGCCCTCCACGATCAACATGACATCCTGTATACCAGAGATTACATTGAGATGGAAAATGTTTATTATCTATTTTCTAAGCTTGTTTGACTTTTTTTTTTTTTTTTCTCTTTTGAATGCTTCTCCAGGCTTTCTTGGCCTAGAGTCAGCTCTGAATAATAGGTATGAATTTCAGGGTTACAGCTAAGCCTTCTTGTCAACAGAAAGCAGTCACTAGGATAACCACAGTCTTAATCTTATTTCATGCATCTTTGCCCAGAGGCAGAAATTTTCATTCATAATTTAGAGGAAATGAGTACTTACGACTCAAGCTTCCAGATATCTTAGAATTTTTAAAAGATGTAGAAGGATGACTTAAGAAACTTATTGGGTATTGGAAAATGCTTCATGTTATTGGCCAGCTTTGGGTTATTGATTGTAAAAAATTTTCCAGGTCTTCACAGCATTGAGTGCTACCTGAAATTCCTATTGTCAGAAAGAGCTTGCTATCAGATTTGCATATATAGAAGTGTAAAAACACAAATTTGGATGAAACTCTGAAAATTAGACATACAAATAGGAATCTAGAGCAATGATTCTGGTGGGGGTGGGGGGAGGGGTGACTTTTCCCTTAGGCATCTGGCCATGTCTGGAGACATTGTCAGAACTCTGGATAGAGGCTAGCAGTGCTGCCTTTCAAACATCCTGTATGGCACAAAGATATCAACAGTGTCACTATTATGTGTAAATCTTTATTTTTGGACATGCTTTTCAGAACATGAAAATATTTAAGGAAACAACACTCATTCCAATTCTTAGACCTGTCAGCATACTTTTTTAACATGGTGAGTTTAGTTATGTCATAAAAGCTCAGGAGGCATAGCCAGGAAGCTTACCTGTTTCTTAAGGCTATTCTTTTAAGAAGAGCTCTGCCACTGAGAGTCATGCTTCAGAGGTGCAAGAGCTTAGGTCACCGTCCTTGAAAGAGCCTTGGGGTAACTGAGCATCCTTGAATGTGCTTTCTCTTTTGTGACATTTTACTTGTGTTCCTCTTGACCTTGAAGTACTTTCTACTTTGTGTTAAAAGTTTAGTCTTCTGTTTATCTCTGGCTTGCCTGTCTAACCCTGTTTGTTGGACTGAAAATCAAGAAGACAAAAGGAGTCAGGGAGGTAGCATGATTGCAGAATTGTATTTGAAGTTCAGATAATTTCCTAATTTTTTTTTTTTAAGTTGTAGTTGGACACCATGCCTTTACTTTATTTATTTACTTTTATGTGGTTCTGAGGATACTGAGGATAGAACCCAGGGCCTCGCACATGGTAGGCAAGCACTCTACCGCTAAGCCACAACCTCAGGCCCTGCTCTGTAAGTTTTTAGGTGATTGTATCTAATGAAAAATGTTTGCCGTCTCTTATTTCTGCAGTTGTGAGCCATTCCCTGAAGGTGGAATGCTTAACCTTGTCTTCTACTTCAGCTTTATTTTTAATGAAAATGTTGAGCAGTTTGTTTTTAATAATCAATACTTGGTTATTGGTATGAAAATAATATTAGCTTTATTTGACTATTAGGGAAAAAAATCTAAAAATGAACAATATGCTATAGTGATGTGGCCACAAACCAATATAATTAGAAGACATTAAAATTCTTTTGAAAAAGTGTAGGCATTTTAAGGTTATTCTTTTTTACACTCCTAATTGGTGGTATTGTTAATAAAGGAGCAAAGAAATTTTATGTAAAAGGATGGGAATAAACTGTCCTTCATGACTATATCACGTAAGAGATTTGCTTGTATGTAACCCCAAAACCAACCCACTATCAGTGGAATGCAAAGTACCAGTGACTTCAGCTAAAATACTCATATCTTGCTGGGGTAAAATGTCCAGAGGGAGTCCAGGGCCAGTATGACTATTTTGTAAACATCTGGGCCCAGCTTCTCTTCATTCTGAAGTGCTGCCAGTTGTGACTTGAGGCTCTTGTCTAAGATGGATGCTGGAACTCATGTTTTTTGATAAACCCTGGCCTGGCCATTAGGCTGCCAATACAGATAGAAACCTGACTGGGTGACATTTACAGCGTAGACATGTAAATTTTGTATTAAAGGCAAGTTAGCAGAGCTGGTGCAGTGGTGGTACATGCCTGTAGTACCAGTGACTTGGGAGGCTGAGGCAGGAGGATGGAGAGTTCAAAGCCAGCATCAGCAATGGCGAGGCACTAAACAACTCACTGAGACCCTGTCTGTAAATAAAGTCTACTGCCCCTGAGCTCAATCCCTGATCCCTGCCCCCGCCCCTCCAAAAAAGGTCTGGGATATAGCTCAGTGGTTGCTTGAACCCCTGGGTTCAAGCTCCAGTAACAATAACAACAAAAGTCAGCTTACCGCTGTCTTGGGGAAGGCTGAAGTATACAGAAGACCACCTCCATCCTGTCCAGATATCGCCTTCCAGTTAGCAGCATTCACTTAACACGTCTGATGTGGTCAGAGCTGTACAAATCATTGGATTAAAAGGTTTGCCCCATTCCTGAACCTCATCCTTCAGAGCTTGGATTCTGTTGGATCACTTTACTGTTTTCTAATAAAACTTATCCATTCAGTGTTTAATCTTTGATCTCTGTTTTTCTCTTCAGTGTTATCATATTCTCTTTCCAGCAAGTAAAAAGGTCAAGGAGTTGAGGGAGATTTTTCTTCTCTTTTAAAAAATTGGTGTAACACCCCAAGTGGCATAACACTTCGACTTACATCCCATGAGTCAAAACTTGGTCAGTTGGTCAGTCGTGTGTAGTCTGGAGGAAATCTGGGGAAATAGTCTTTTGAATGGGAGATAAAAGACTCATCAAGAAACTGGATTCTTGTTAGTAAAGAATGAGGGACAACAAACAGACTTTGAAACAATTTCAGTGAAAATGTTAAGAAAAAAAATAGTGGCTGTATAATCTCATCAAGGCTCTCAAGTTTATAAAGTACTGTTGTCTGGTGACTGTTTAGATGCTTCCTCCAATGTGACTTTGTTGCCTCTACCCTCTTTTCCAAAAGCAAAACTAAACATTCTGTCTTTTCTTCTTTTAGGACTTTCCGTGACATCTCTGAAGATTTGAAATCTTCAGTAGACTGACTTGGTTTCACTGCAGTGGTTTCTCTAGGAAATTTCACCTTGACAGTGAGTTCAGCTGAGCTGAGGCCTTGTGTCCTTTCAGCTGTGCCTAGAAGGCAGAGCCAAGAAAAGAAGCCTCCTGGCCTTCCATACAGAACACCTGGACAAGAGAAACTCAACTGAGGGCTGCTTTGCATTTTAAAACATAGAGTTGAGACTTCAGAAATGTGTTTGCTCACTTAACTGTTGCTAAGATGGCTTGAAGTTTCCGTTTATACATTGACACCGTGGCTTGAATTTTCCCCACTTTGATTATAGTAATATGTATTTATAAATTTATTTTAAGAATTTGAAACTACCTGCTGTTAAAAATACATACAATGACATTTTCTCTTATTTTAAGAAATCAGTTCATAAACTTTTCTATGACAGTCACTTTTCAGTGAAGAGGGCTTTCACTTTTGAGTATGTAGTTATGTGAGCAAGATTACCCTTCTTGAACAATGTACTGTTTCCTCTTTGAGAAAAGAACAAATCTTAAGTGCATGGGTAGGGAAGCATATTTGATGTTCTGCTGAATGTTGCAACCAGAGGAGATACAGAAAGTCTGAGGCTCTTCCTTCTCCCTCTGTCCCTCATTACAGTGTTACCAAAATTAAAACTTGGCTGCCCACATTAAATTTAAATACATATGAAGCTGCTATGAATGTTAAACAATATGAAGGAATTCATGCTCATTAAGTTTTTTCTTTTAAATGCTTAAGTGAAAACTCAGGTGTAGCGGTAATGATTTCTAAATGTATTCCCTATTATTTGGAACTCTGCCTGGTAGTTATTTAGCAGTATAATTTTATATTTCTATCTTGTCACTTAGCACAGTGCCTTGCACATAATGACTCTAGATGAATGAATGCTTGCTGAACTGAATTGTAACTTCTTAAATATCTCAGATATTACATTAACCAGCATAGTGCTTTACATTTTATACAGTCCTTTTACACATATTATTTTGCAACCACTTCACATTAGCATTCATGTAGCTTTTTATTATTTTACAACATTTTACACTGATGGGGAAGGTAAGGTTCTGAAAAGTGACCATTGTAGTCACATAGTTTAGTGAGATTTGGCCTCAGCTCTTTCTGACTCCTTAGGTCTACATACTCTGTTGTACTAGGGAGTGTTCTTTCTCTATCTTTTGCAGGTTCCCCAGTCCTGTGAGCCAGAATGGGTGTTGGCAGACTGCAGACTTGCTCTGCCGTTAATCACAGTGCTGGGACTGAGGCCCTGCCCTGTGCTTTGTACCCTTTCTACCTTTTAGAATAATCATCAGTCCCATCCTTTTCTCTCAAAGGAATATAGAGTAGAAGGAGTTTATAATGTTGAAGGTTTACTTTTTTAGAACACATTTAAAAGTAGAAGTTTTTTTTTTTCTAAAACATCTCACTAAAAATTGATAATTTATTTGCTTAACTTTATTCTTATACTCCTTAAACAAAAAAACCCATCTAGAAAAGGTTACCAAGAAGTCTTTCTTTTTTTTAAAATATTTATTTTTTTAGTTTTTTAGGTGGGTATAATATCTTTATTTTTTATTTTATCTTTTTATGTGATGTTGAGGATTGAACCCAGCGCCCCACGCATGCCAGGCGAGCATGCTACCGCCCGAGCCACATCCCCAGCCCAAGATGTCTTTCAACTGTTGTTCTGTAGTAGACTACCTGTAGATCTATTATTTGTATTATAAATCCTTCAAAATTTATAATGTGTTATTCCATTAAGTGTTAGATTTGACCACTAAATAGCTTATTCTCCTCTTTAGTCATTTATTCAGTGATGCATTTGTTCATTAGCACATTTTTCAAGAGTTTGCTAACTCTAGGTTCCATGCCAGGGACTTTACAGGGTGGTGTGATAACTCATAAGGAAGCGCTCTCACCTTAAATCTTAGCCAGATCATGTGTAATATTAAATTAAAAATTTTGTATTAAAAGGGTTAAAAAAAAATCAAGTTTGTTTTCCTTAACTATATACTGGTAAGTTTATAGGTATAATTAGCACACGTTCATAATAGGGAAATACTATACACAGTGAATAAATGTGTGTATACAAATTATGTTCCTCCAAAATGCTTTTAGCTGTGTAAGGTGATATTGCAAAAGACTAAACTTGAGCTAATATATGACTGTTGCTGGGATAATTATTAGTATGAGTATCAGGTTCTTAGAGAGGAACTCTGAGCTGTGAGAGAATAGTTTCAAGCTGCCAAAATTAGCAACAGTGATGTAATACCACCCTGAAATATCAGGAGAAGAGGTGCCCCAGAGAGTTACACAGTCCTGATCAGGAAACTTGAACTGCTCTGTTGCTACAGTGACAGCGTAAGGACTGGTTCAGTCCATCAGCTGGGGAAATCTGAACCTGAGAGAAGCACCCCAGCATGTGTCCTTAGGTACAGGGAGAAGGTTTTATAGAATTTCCACAGGATGTAGTTAGAGATCAGGTGGGTATGACAAGGCAGGTATCAAAGATAACTTGTCCCAAAGAATCTCCTTCAGAATTTAACACAGAAAGAGAAAGTTTCCCTAGGAATAGACAATGTAGCAACAAAGTAGATGTAGCTTCAGTAAAAACCGAGTACAGAAATCTGTCCAAGTGTCTTGTGTTGTATAGATTTATTAAAAATTACTTTCAGGTTCACTATTAGTTGTACACTGAATGGTATGGGGGTTGGGGAAGATACACTCTTTGCACACAGAAATGCTCCTATCTTTCCAAGCAATAACAGGGAATAGGATTTTCAACATAAATTCCACATCCTGTAAATCCTTTTTGAATCCACATTCTGTTCCTGGACAATTTCTGTTTGACTGCCTTAGATGCTAGTCTGGATATTGTTAAAATTGCAAGATATTCTAACCCCCTCTTCCATGAGAGGCGGTTAATGAGCAGTTTTTTTCTTGGTCTCAGAGACTAGTGTGGATTGACTCTTAACTGTGGAAACATTTGCAAATCACATTATATTGAGACCCTGTATTTAAACAAACTCTGTAGCTTTTGGAATTGGCAGCTGTTTATTCCAGTTAAAGGCCTGCTATAGAGCTTGCAGGTGAGGTTTTCTGACTAACCTTGGTCCTAACATGAATCCATTGTGACTTATCAGGACTATCTAGTACCTCTAGTTGCCACCTTGCTTATGTTAGTACTTCAGGAATGTGTCACTGCTGGGCTAGACTACTCAGAAATTCAGGCCATGAGGGGTTAGATTAGAGTACACTGATTTAGGTAAGCTATCTAGAACTTTCATCCTAAGTGTTTATGTGTAAAATGCTCAAGACTGCACATTCCAGTCTTGACCTTCAGTCCTCTCTGAACTCTCCCAGGACCCTTAAAGAATACTACAGTAGGGCTGAGAATACCCTTTTCACAGTTGAAATAGCTTCTGGCAACATGCTTCCAAATGCTACTTTGAGTTAAGGATACATTTTAATTTTATCAATCTCTTGTATTTATACATTTTACCATCAAAATATATTCATTTCATTAACATTGATTATTGAGAATCTGAAGAAAGTATCTGAGGCCACTACACAGTTTTTTTTTGATAGTTTAAACTTAAAAGAATTGTAAATCAAGATGTCCTGTCTAGTTACTAGAGTGATAGAAATTCTCTGCTAGAATGGGTTGCATATAATTAGGTGATCCTGTAATTTTCTAGAGAAGGAAACAAATGCCTGGGTGAAAGTAGTTTGTCTGACATGTGCATACACACAGTCAAGTCATGGAATTCAGAATGGAATACAGTTCCTGTTTCTCTCAGTCCATGTTCTATTTCTCTTCCTTTTTTCTCATAGTTAAGCAGCTTTTGGCAAAGTGTTTTTCTTAATAGCGATAGTTCCAAGATATGTTGATGTTATAAGAGGAAAAAGTGTGTGTGTGTGTGTGTGTGTGTGTGTGCACGCGCGCATGCGAGCACCATGCTCAAGTAACATTGAGAAATGCTGAGCTTCTTTTCCTTGGGATTTCTAAGAGTTCTTAACATGCTATGATAACATTGTGAATTTATAAGAGGAGACAATTACTGTTTGACTTTAGATTGTGCCCCCCTCCCCTCCTTTTCTCTGAGCATTTCAAAGGACTACTGTCTCTTGGGAAATACAGCTCTTGTTGAAGTTTACATCCCTAGTGGTTATACTGAATGGTGAATGTGATATCCTGCAATCATTTATAAATCTCACACTTTAGTGAGATACTAGAAAGCAAGCATATTTGCCATTCAGAGCTATACTTTAAAGTATAGAGGTTCTTTTTCACTGATGGTATGTAAAATCAGTATTTGTGTTTGATTTTGCAAGTTTTTCAAGGATCAAGTAATGTGCAAACACAGTGATATAGATATTACATTTTAATAATGTTTTGTATGGCACTTTATGGTTTTTAGACACCTTTGGAACAACCCTGTGAGCTAGGTAGTATTATAATCATTGCAAATGAGGCACTGGAGGCTCTGAAAGGTTGTTTTTTTTTTTAGAATTTCCCTCTAAGTTTAGACCACAAAAGAATGGAGCCAGAATTTATTTGCAGAACTTCTGACTCCAAGTCCAGAGTTCTTTTCTCCACACCTGCTCACTTATGCTTCTAAGTTTAGATTTTACAGTGAAATGTATGGAAGCAAATCTTCGAGTAACATCATTTTAGCTTATTATGAAATACCAATTCTTTTGTACAGCAGTGACCCAGATGTGAACTCTCATTGTGGCTATTCCAGAGAAAACCCTTCTTTGTCCTTTGCAGTGCCAGTTGTTGAGGTGACTGGAGTGTATTTCAAATACCATTTGGTTGTGAAACTAAGATTGGACATAGTTGTAATTACTCATGTATTCTTTGAAAATGTATCATCTCCACATTCTCAGGCAAAAGAGAGCGAGCTTGAAAGTAAACATAGTCAATTATGACAAATATTCTTTATTCTTACACAAATGCTGTTTCTTAGCTTTAACTTGCTCTGACAACTACTGATGTAACCTCTTTGTAAAATGTAAAATATTTATATTTTGAAATAAAATTACTGCTGTTGAATGGTAACCTTTGCCTCTTGTTTCTTGAGAAATTTGACCTTTAGTTGTACTACATCCATCTCTCAGGCCTTATCTCCTAACTTCTCTTTTTGGCACCAGTGACCACTGAATTTTTATGAAATTTGATCAACTTGGATGAGGGAGGTACGTCTGGAGAGTGGATGTAGGGCACTTTGAAAAGATGCTAAGGGTCCCCAGCTGTGGCCGAATCCCTCATTGCACTGGGGAAATGGTTTTGTGATAAAGAAATGGTGAGGTGCATGGCTGAGCTGTAGGAATTGGAACTGGAAGAGAGTTGAATTAAGGAACTGTACTTTGTCTAAACTTGGCTATCATCAATGCCTAAGATACCTGTGTAGCTCTGGGAGAGGAAGCTGGACCAAAAATGGAAGCACTGCTAAACACATTTCAACAGTGCTTGGAGAACAGCGCCCAGCACCTCACTCAGATTGATGGTACCCAGCTCATTAAGTCAGTTGCTCAAGTCTAGAACTTCTTCACAGGGTGAATGCTTTTGACAGCCTCCGTTTGGCTTTCCTTCTGGAAAAAAAGGGGTGTTCCACATTCCCTCCTATCACCTGGGCTCTGTGTAAGTAAAATTTGGGCTTGCCAGTGACTATGGTCAGAAATACACAACGATAATCTTTGCATTGACCTGTTAAGAAACCACTCTGTCCCTGGAGAAAAATTAATTTTGAAAGTTTAAGTTTAAAAAGTAATAGGATTGGACAATAGACAACGCTTTTTCATGCATAATTTTGTTTTGGAGAATAAACAGCCCGAAAGATATACCATCTTCTTGCCGAGTACCCAGATATTCCCTATCGCGTCATCAACTGTTTTCATTTTCAACCCAAGTACTAGAAATACAGGCATAAAATAAGGGTGGAAAAGGGACCTTCCCAAGGGGCTCAAAGACGAAAGGCCCCGCCCCCTGACTTGATTCTGGTTTTGCTTTAGCAGTTTCAATCCAGCGCCCCTTCCGGAAACTTTTGCGGGGGTTTGGAATTGATTTCGGACGTTATCTATTGGAAAGACGGGAAACTTTGCCAGGGACCTTGTCCTCCTGGGAGGCTCTCAGCTGTCGTGCTTCTGGTTTGCGGAGAGTTGGGGAACCCGCCGCCGAGGGAAGGGGGCGGGGCCGGGAGAGGGGGCGGGGC